CTGGCGACCCCAAGGGGGAGGGCCTTCTCTGTGGGAGCTCCCACCCTCTGGAATGAACTGCCCCCAGAGATCAGGGTCATCCCTGATCTCCCTTCCTTCCGCCGCGCCCTTAAGACTTGGTTATTCCAGCTTGCAGGACTGGCCTAGGGTAATTTTTAGAGGGGTTTTAATTATATTTTAATTGGACAATGTTTAAATACTTCTTTTAATTAATTTTAAATTTGTAATTGTTATTTATGTATTTTAATTGATTGTCAGCCGCCCTGAGTCCGCGAGAAGGGCGGGATATAAATCCAAATATAATAATAATAATAATAAAAAAAAAATCCATAATTTCAGAAACCAATACTATCTTAAAATAGATTATATCAGAATGCAGTAGAAACATATAGAAAAGCAAATCAAAACACAAATTATCTCCAAAATTATTCGTTGATGGTTTTCAAAATCTGCGCAAAATTTAAATCAAAAGATCAATATAGCTGGACCAGCACATATATGATTAAAGCATTGGAAAAATTCAGGGAATCCAATAATTCTGCTAAGTGTTCCAAAGCAACATGGAATGTTCTTACTAGTTAAGTTAATCCACTACTTAAAAAATATAGCAGCCACAATAATTTGCACTTAGTTAAATATCACAAGCAAAACTTTGGGATGTGGAGATGAAGTGCACATTTATAATATTGATCTAAGGCAGAAGTATTCTATAAATGTTCTGGAACACTGATCTTGCTGTTATTTTGGCCAATATAGTGATATATTGAAAGCCCAGTAACTATTTGAGAACAACCCAGGTACATAACCTAAAGCACTTAAAGCTATCAGAAAACCATTTTACTACTTCTGCCTACGTCATTCAACCAACAGCCCAGATACATATAAATTGGTGGCGGATCTCAGCATGAAACTCTAGTGGCTCTTTACTTCTTTCCTGCTCAGACTGCCACCAGGTGTTTCACCTACAAAATGAAGGTGGTACTATTAGGCCTGCTTTTCCTCTGTGTCATAGTCATACATTCTGAAACAACAACTGTTAAACTCTGTGGGAGAGAATTTGTCAGAGCTGTTGTCTTTGCTTGTGGAGGATCACGGTGGAGAAGACAACTTGGTGACCCTTTCTCAGAAGGGCTCAAAGGTGAGCATATAAATTGCCCAAATAATCATAATTTTGGCATGCAATCGGTCATTACAATAAATGTACCATTATTTTGGTTTTACTATGCTATGGTTGAATAGATACATTTTAAAGATGAGTTATATTATAAAGGTAATAACGTTACAACTTATAAAACAGAGAATACCATGGAAAAATGTTACCACCTGTTCTATTTTGATAGTAGGGGCACCAGAGGAACTTCTTAAATGGACCAAATCTGGCAGATACCTTTTCAAGTCCCTATGCCTCAACCTCTGCAAGCTTTGAAATATGCTACATAATACTGTGAACTGTATTGCATAGGATAATGCATATTAATCAGGTTCTAGATTTCTACAAGTTATTTTTTAATGATAGCTGTTGGGATTATTTTGTTTTAAGTAAGAAATCAGATGCATGACCAAGATTACAAAACTCACACAGATCAGTTTGCTTTTGAGCGTTTGAAGTTAATATATAATTATATTATATATATATAATATATATATATAATTCCTATTCTAATTGGAGAAGCATTGGAAGAAAATACAATTTTCTTCATTCTTTTGAAAAGAAGTTAGCTTCAATTTGGGATGTACTTTCTAGGAAAGCAAAGCTACCAAGTATAAATTCTTAACTGAAACTTCCAGGTTGATCTTCTAAATGTTAACAACACAGACTGTGCGCACACAGGGAAATTTAAAGCACAGATTAGCTTTTATTTGGTAATAATTTTTAGATTTTAGGTTTGTGGAGATAAAATCTGAATTTGCTTTTCTCTCATTTTTATGTAATGGAACAACAAAGGCATACATATTTATCATTTAATCTCATTCAACAGATGCCAACGGAAATTACATGGAGAAGTCAAAATCCCAAAGCAACGAATTAATCNTCATTTATAGTATTAAATACTAATTTTCTTTAAGATTTCTCAGACATAGACTCTTCCTAATTTATTTAAAATGCCTTTCAATATTTTTGTTTTATACTTACGTATATATTTATTTGTTTTTCAGATGGATATTTTGCATGATATGATCGGCTCTAATCTAGCCAGTCCAGAGTAGTTTTTTTACAGAAATATTTAAGAAGAGTGAAGGTGATGTAAAACATGGCATTTAATAGTTCACCATTAATTATTAAATATCTATGTGGTTCTGTATGAATTTATATATATATATGTCTCTGATTGTTTTCCCTATATAAGACACCTACAAAGACAATCTGTTCTGAATGTTTTAAAAAGCCCCTAAATGGTTTTATGGAAAGTACTAATAATTGATTTCAGGTAGTCCTCAGGTATTAGCTATCATAATTGGGACTAGGAATTCTGTTTCTAAGAGACATGGTCGTAAAGTATGACATTATGTGTCCACACCAACTTATGATGACAGTTCTAATGGTTCTGGTTGCGGTAGTTAGGTGGGATGTCATATCTCCACCATGTGCAATCTCCTGCCAGCTGCTGCTTTGCTTGTCAGAAGGTGGCAGTGAAAGCCACAAATGGTGATCATGTGACTGCAGGACACTGCAACCATTGTAATTGCAAGCCTGTTGTGCCAATCATCCAAATCAAGATTACATGATGTTGCGATGGCCACAACTTCAAGGGCTGTAGATAAGCCTCCACGTTCAGCACCATCGTAACTTTAAACGGCCTCTGAATGAATAGTTGTTATCCAAGAGTGCCTGCAAAAACAAACAAGCATTCAGACACAAATAATGAAAGATGCTCTCTTTTTTTTTGCTATGAATGACATCCAGGAAAAAGCAGGTCTGTGTTTAAATTATGCCTGGATTCGGGGTTGTTTTTGTTGATGCCGTTCTAATATTTTTTTATATTATTGAAAGAAAAATGGGATGTTAGGAGAACGACAAAACCCAAATTTTCTTCCATAGACAACTAAGATTCACGTTGGTATTGATCGGTTAGCATCAAAGTAAGGGAGGCCAATTTACAATTTGCTCATATAAATATAGGAAGTCTCCAGATTATGAACCTCCGTCTTAAAAACAACCCCTAGTTATGAATAGGTTGCCTGCAGTATTCAGACTGGTGGAGGGCCAACTGGCAAAGAGATCCATCTCAAAAAAAGAAAGGCAGGTGTAGGCCAGCAAAGAGTATCCTTGTGTTGCAGGCAGGTGTGTGTGTGTGTGTCCTAGTGGTGTTTCTGTCTGGTGTGTGTCTGTGCAATACAGCCCCATCTACTGTTCCACTGCTGCATTTCCAAGCCCTCTTCTTCAGCTCACATCCTGCATGTGTTTCTGCTTGCATCTCTCTGTGTGTGTGCTCTGATAAGCCAAGTGAGTGCTGGAGATTGGAAGTTAGGACGTTTGGAGATCAGCTGTGGGGAATTTTTTTGTCTTTTGGGAGTTTTGGGGGGGTACCTTTAAGGGCATGCTGGGCTATACAAATTTGGGGCATCTGGCAACACTAAACCTGTTTTCAGCAGTTCATAGTCATAGACAAACACATAACTAAATAACCTGTTCCATTTTGCATACAAATTCAACTTAAGGGCAAATTTAGGAATGGAATTTGTTTTAACCTGGCGACATGCTCTTTATCAGGATTTGTTCTAGAATAATATTGCTGATTCTCCAGAGTTTCATGAGAAGCAGCACTAGGCACTGGAAAGGGAAGGAGCTGTAGCTGAACAATTTTTCCTTCCCCTTCTGCCAACACAGAAACCTGAACTGGTCTTGTCTGCAGTAATCTGCAATTAAAAGGAAACCTCCTGTGCAATAAGCAATCCAATCTAGAACAACCCCTCCATATGTAAGACATACCACTTTCCCATTATTAACAATTTTAAAAGTTCTAAATTATTGAAATAATTCTAAGCCTTGTAAGCTGGGGAGCTGTCACAAATGAATATTATAGTTTTTAGTTGTATCGTCAAATTGGCTTCCCAGGCATGGCAACAAGAACTGAATGTTTAAACAGATCAAATTATAAACTGGTTAGAAAGCATTAACACCTATCTCTAAGTGCAGTTTACACATTTTGATGAAGAAATTATGTGACAAACTGTTTCCTGTCGTGTTTCTAAAGATGGCATACATTAGAGTGAACAGTGTGTTAATCATTATCCTCTTAAAAGTGACAAAAGGATGTGTCCTTTCTTTTAAGAGCAGATAGAGATCGTTTTTTATTTGTTGGTTCTACTAAAGAACTGAATATTTTAATGCTTTTGTAAGCTGAAAATATCATCAAGGTTAATGGCATTCTATGTCAAAGTTAACAGTCATCGACAGTCTTGAAGTTGGAGACTATATGTGATGTAAGGGATCAATACCTTTCTTTATATTATAGCTACATTGTATTTTAAAGCATAATTAGAAGAGCAACTACTCTCAGCTATTTTTTCCAATAAAAAAATTAGAAAGAAACCTATTTATACTTACAGCAGGCCACTATTCAAGGGATTTTGAGCAAGTTACTTTCTTCTTAGTCCAAAGGTAATCTTAAATTAACTTGAGGTAGATATTCCAAAGGATTTGGAACGGCAGAAGCCCATGAAATGAATACTATGTGCCAACTTGTAATCTCCAAAAACACTCTTTAAAAAAGCACTATATAACAAATTCTAAAAAAATCTCCATACCCAAACTACCAAGTGTGAAAGGAAATACAATTACAATGGATCAAACAATCCAGATCAGAATTTGTCAAAGGAAAAATGAAGACAATATACATTGGCATACTAATAGGCTGCTTTTCTTTTCTTTTCTTTTTTTTTTTTCAAAAGAAAAAAATTCCTTTATTTGGGCCAATGTACATATACTACAGCAAGTTATATATTGTTTTGGAAAGCTGGAACAACAAAATAAAATGTTTCTCTAACGATATGCAATAGTTTTACTTCCCACTTGAAGCAAATCTGTACCTTTTTCTTTTTTTTATTTTAAAAGTTTTATTAATTTTAAACAATACCAATACAATTATAAACATACATTATATAACTAATTCAATAATTACCATAATTGTTCATCTGCTTTTCTTAACGATACAAGGTTCTCTAAGCTATCTTGCTTCCTTACAGAAGATACAGGTGCTTTTTTTTTTCCAGATGGGCAAAAAGTACCTTGCATTGCACTCCGAACTGCAATTTTGTGAGCTTCTGCATATATCCTTTAAAATATATACAGAATAGCATAACTGAAGATTACATGTGTTTCCTCATGTTATCCTTACCAGGAATTTCTGTCATTGTACTTGGGAATTGTTTTGCTGTTCCTGCTCCAATATTGCAACTTGCATAATTTACTCCACATAGACTGGAAATGGGCTGTAAACGTTCTCCTAGGATGGCATCCTGCTGTTCTAAGAGCTACTAGCCTGACAACCGTGTTAGCCTTGTGTCCATTTCTTTTGTTTCATGTCCTGCCTTTATTATTTTTATACACAACTCAAAGCAGCAAATATATCTAATAGTCCTTCCACCTCCTATTTTCCCCACAACAACAACTTTGTGAAGTGGTTTGAGCTGAGAGAGAGTGACTGATCCAAAACTACCCACCCAGCTTTCATGCCTAAGGTGGGACTAGAACTCACTGTCTCCTGATTTCTAAGCCAATGCTAGACCAATTTGGCTGTCTCTCTTGTTTCTAGTGATGAAAATAGATTCCCTGGAAAAGACAAAAGTTAGAAAGCTGAACTTACTTTTCAAGGATCAGGCAATCAAAAATGATCGTTTTAGTACTGATACAGACATGTATAGACAGGTGGCAAAATATTGATCATGAAGACCCAATGCAAGGTCTGTGTATAACATATTTTGTATGGATATCAGGATGCAATTATATATGGTGGGTCTGAGTTATAATGTCATCTGTGCATGTCATTTTTAATATCACTAGGGTTAGCTGTGGACATCTATGAGTGCTGTCAAAAGTTAATTCAAAGTTTAATACAATTTCAGCAATTGTAAATAACTATGCTCACGGTTATTTTAGTTTTATCTACACACTCAAGCTGAAGCAAGGCACTTTTATGATCTAAAGGCTTTTTCTCTGAGTTTCAACTCTACAACATCCTATGTCAGTGGTGGTGAACCTATGGCACGGGTGCCAGAGGCGGCACTCAGAGCCCTCTCTGTGGGCACGCTCGCCATCACCCCAGTCCTAGGCCTTCAGCTGGGTTTTATAAAACCTTTTCGCTTTAGGCCTCCACCACCGTGTGCAAAAAAAAAAAAAGGTTCAATCTATCAGTCAATTTCAACTTCTCGTGGGAAAAAAAAGATCTTGCAAAGTTGGAATTGATTGATTGAACTTTTTAGTCCCATCAGTCTGCCGTTATCGCCGCAGCCATGCCCAGCCAATGGGCCACACCCACCCGGCACCTGACGATGCATAAGTGGGTTTTGGGTTGCAATTTGGGCACTCGGTCTCTAAAAGGTTTGCCATCACTGTCCTATGTCATCCTTGCTAGATTAAATCCATAATTTCAGAAACCAATACTATCTTAAAATAGATTATATCAGAATGCAGTAGAAACATATAGAAAAGCAAATCAAAACACAAATTATCTCTCATTCCAAAATTATTCGTTGATGGTTTTCAAAATCTGTGCAAAATTTAAATCAAAAGATCAATATAGCTGGACCAGCACATATATGATTAAAGCATTGGAAAAATTCAGGGAATCCAATAATTCTGCTAAGTGTTCCAAAGCAACATGGAATGTTCTTACTAGTTAAGTTAATCCACTACTTAAAAAATATAGCAGCCACAATAATTTGCACTTAGTTAAATATCACAAGCAAAACTTTGGGATGTGGAGATGAAGTGCACATTTATAATATTGATCTAAGGCAGAAGTATTCTATAAATGTTCTGGAACACTGATCTTGCTGTTATTTTGGCCAATATAGTGATATATTGAAAGCCCAGTAACTATTTGAGAACAACCCAGGTACATAACCTAAAGCACTTAAAGCTATCAGAAAACAATTTTACTACTTCTGCCTACGTCATTCAACCAACAGCCCAGATACATATAAATTAGTGGCGGATCTCAGCATGAACCTTTAGTGGCTGTTTACTTCTTTCCTGCTCAGACTGCCACCAGGTGTTTCACCTAGAAAATGAAGGTGGTACTATTAGGCCTGCTTTTCCTCTGTGTCATGGTCATACATTCTGAAACAACAACTGTTAAACTCTGTGGGAGAGAATTTGTCAGAGCTGTTGTCTTTGCTTGTGGAGGATCACGGTGGAGAAGACAACTTGGTGACCCTTTCTCAGAAGGGCTCATAGGTGAGCATATAAATTGCCCAAATATTCATAATTTTGGCATGCAATCGGTCATTACAATAAATGTACCATTATTTTGGTTTTACTATGCTATGGTTGAATAGATACATTTTAAAGATGAGTTATATTATAAAGGTAATAACGTTACAACTTATAAAACAGAGAATACCATGGAAAAATGTTACGACCTGTTCTATTTTGATAGTAGGGGCACCAGAGGAACTTCTTAAATGGACCAGATCTGGCAGATACCTTTTCAAGTCCCTATGCCTCAACCTCTGCAAGCCTTGAAATATGCTACATAATACTGTGAACTGTATTGCATAGGATAATGCATATTAATCAGGTTCTAGATTTCTACAAGTTATTTTTTAATGATAGCTGTTGGGATTATTTTGTTTTAAGTAAGAAATCAGATGCATGACCAAGATTACAAAACTCACACAGATCAGTTTGCTTTTGAGCGTTTGAAGTTAATATATAATTATATTATATATATATAATATATATATATAATTCCTATTCTAATTGGAGAAGCATTGGAAGAAAATACAATTTTCTTCATTCTTTTGAAAAGAAGTTAGCTTCAATTTGGGATGTATTTTCTAGGAAAGCAAAGCTACCAAGTATAAATTCTTAACTGAAACTTCCAGGTTGATCTTCTAAATGTTAACAACACAGACTGTGCGCACACAGGAAAATTTAAAGCACAGATTAGCTTTTATTTGGTAATAATTTTTAGATTTTAGGTTTGTGGAGATAAAATCTGAATTTGCTTTTCTCTCATTTTTATGTAATGGAACAACAAAGGCATACATATTTATCATTTAATCTCATTCAACAGATGCCAACGGAAATTACATGGAGAAGTCAAAATCCCAAAGCAACGAATTAATCCAGTATAACATGGAGTCTGAGAAAGATTTGCGAGGCATGCAACAGAGGTCTGTGCACAAAAGAAATGAGGATGTCATGCAGCTTACAATCACTTGTTGTACTATTGGGTGCAGTGCAAACTCTATAAGTTCACTGTGCTAAAAATGTTAAGATCCTGCCATGGAAGCTTATCTAAATAAGACGCATCATGTCTAGAATGGAGCGTTTTCAAATCTTTTCTGTTACACTTTGTATTTCCCAGCTCTGCTGCTGCTATTCTACTTAGGATGTTATACAAATTAGAATTTTTTTTATTTCATACTTGTGTATCAGCCATCTGAAGTTAGCTGCTTTGTTTCCTAATCTTGAAATAAAAATGTGCAATTCTGTAAACTGGTTTCCCTAAACAGTTCTTATCAATGCATAAAAATAGTATCGGGCTTGCAAATTAAAAAAAAAATATCTCTGAACACGTTTCACTTTCTTAGGGAGTTAAAAGAACAATTTGAATGAATGGCTGGAGCTCAGTGGTTCTGCAAACCAGCGTTAATCCTTGATAGAGCTAATAGAAATCCTGACTGAAAACCTAGAATGACAGCCAGAAGAGACAATATTGACTAGATATTTCAATGTTTATTAATCTAATTACTTTTTGCCTGGACTGATCTCAAAATAAAGATGCTTCTGAGGTTTTTGCAAAGAAACTTGCCAATAGTGATGATAAATGTTTGGTGGAAAGAAAAAAAAATATTTGGGGGAAGGAGTGCAGGAAAAAGAATGTTGCAGGTTTTTTTTTTCCAGAGATAGGGAGAGGCCTACTAACATTCTTGGTTGAAAAACATTTGGTTTCAAGAAATGCTTAGTGCTCCAGAACCGCTGCAGCTGGCAGTCAGATGGACTACATATTTCATATTATTCTCACCTCATAGCTTCATTCGAGATGCATTTTAATGGGGGGGGGGAAATGTTGCCTCCATTAGCCCACTGATGTCAGATAGTGACTGTGATGTCTCTACTCATAAACTGCAAAGTTTTGTGACTGCCTTACTGTGATTCCAACTTTTCATGCTGGAAATTTAAATCAGCTTCAAATCAGGTGCCATCATCTGGGTTACTTATTCTTGTGCATCTTAACCTTTTAAAATGAGTTATCACGTACTTATTAATGGAAAAATGTAAATACAAATAGACAAAAGGTAGCCATAAATGGTTTCTACACATTTTTATTTCAAATTTAATCTTTAGATTTCTTTTCTTAAAACGTTATTCAGTTTATCAATACATTTAACAAGTGATTTATTTATATTTTTATATTTATATTATTTAATTTTAGCTGCTCAATAGGCAACCTCTTAGGAAGTGGACTGGTCCTTAACCAGTTATGTTCTTATCTAATTATTTTATAAAAATAAAAAGAACACTTTAATTACTACTGCTATTATCTAATGTGTACAGTACCGTATAGTTTCCCATGTTTTTCTATTAACTCATACCAATTTCTCTGAAAAGCCAAATTACATTTTAAATGGATTAGCTTACCTTTCCAACTAATTACCTGTATAAGTATAAGCAAATCTGCTTATTACAGTTATATACCAATTATTATTCAAGAATGTAAACATAGGTAATTGCATTTCATATTCATATCTATTATTCTATCACAGGTATTATATCAGGGATACTGAATCTTTTCCTGGAAACCTGCAGCAGTGCTTAAAAGTTTGCGAGTCCTTTTGAATTTTCAATATTTCTTCACAAATATTACCTAAAATAGGACCTGTTCTCCACACTAAAGAGAACCTAATTAAACTAATGAGTCAAAACATTATACTTGTACATTTATTTATTGAGGAAAATGATATCAAACTACATTAATGCAGAACCACTGAAAAGTCAAAAGGGTTCACAAATTTTTAAGCACCAATGTATTCAGGACCAAATAGTTCTGTGTCATTAGTTGCAATTACAATAGTGGTGTCTCAAAAAGTAATTGACTTTTTCTTCCATAATTAATAGATTACTTAGCAAACATAACAACCATGCACATTGGTTTATTAATGCAACTTATCATTATGTAAAGGTGGATAGAAGTGTAATTCAAAAATAAGATCTAGTTTGTTTTTCAGCTCACATTTTTTGCATCATCATTCAGAGTAAAGAGCATAGACATTTGCAAGAGCAAACAATGATCTATTTTTAAAGGAGTATGAAGAAAAAGTATCACTTGTACTGTCCCAAAGGCACCTGCTTCCAATCTGCATGCTCTGTTTACCTAGCTGTCCAATATATATAATCACAATAATTTTGTATCTTGGTACCATCAGGTCTTTTATCCGGGCTTTTATTACCTAGGAGAAAAATATATTTGCTTAAACTCTTAGTTACTGTTAGAGAATTAGAAGTCCTTAGAATACAGTAGAAATCTGCTTAAGTATTTAACCATTTCATTCTAATTACAGTGTATTAGTAAATTGGATTTATAATTCCAAATAATTTACAGGATCAAGTACCATTGGTTGAAAGTCACAAAAGCTGATTCCTTCAGTGAGTCAGAGCAACTTACTCCTGTGTTACAGACAATTATAAATTCCTAGATTATAAATTGGACCATAAAGTCTTGACCTTCAACTGTTCCTTCACATAGCAGTGATATCATATTCAATATATGGGAAATATATAGAGGCATATAATAGAGAAAAGTACATTCTGAATAGCCTGAAAAGTTGTTTGCAATTTCTTGTTTATTTTACAAAAGAACAGCAAAGTAGCAGTAAGAGCTTCTCAAAAAGTAACTTGAGATATAAAACCATAGCTGAAAAAGTTCATTTGAATATGTCCTAACATAGGCTAGCACAATTATCAAATATTTTTATAGATATCTTATATTTCACTCTTAATGTCCCCCTGTTGCTGAAAAACAATTGAAATTTCCCTCAAATAAAGCTTAAGATAGGCTCCCTTCTATTTGCACTGTAGAGTTTCTATAACTTCTATTCCAATATTGATTTTAATTCTTATTTAGTGATACTTTTGTACCTCAGATATAGTTTTAGTCATTTGCCTGCACAACTCTGCTTCATATTGTTCTTCCTGTAGATAACTTACTACCACATCCTTCAAGATATTATTCACAGCAGTGATTGGGAAATACTTTGTAGGACCTAAGAAGCAGAGAGAGAGTACATAGCATTATTCTACAAGACTTTAATATGAATAGAAAACCTTGGCTATAGATCCAACAATCCTGCTATATTGCATCATTATATTAGGAGGGGTATTCCTGGGAGGGATGAGCAAAGAATGCATGCGGGCATACTAAAAATATATACTCCCAGTGTGGTCACTCAAGGTATGAATGTATGTACTCATCCCAGCTAAAAGGAGCAGACAGACACCTAACAAAATGAATTTCAATGGTGAAAAAAGTAAGGTTCTAAATTTAGGCAAGAAAAACCAAATGTACAGGTATAGTATAGGGGGTACCTTGCTCAATAGTAGTAACTGTGAGAGGGATCTCGGAGTCCTAGTGGACAATCACTTAAATATGAGCCAGCAGTGTGCTGCAGCTGCCAGAAAAGCCAACACAGTGCTGGGCTGCATTAACAGAGGGATAGAATCAAGATCACGTGAAGTATTAATACCACTTTACAATGCCTTAGTAAGGCCACACTTGGAATACTGCATCCAGTTTTGGTCACCACGATGTAAAAAAGATGCTGAGACTCTAGAAAGAGTACAGAGAAGAGCAACAAAGATGATTAGGGGACTGGAGGCTAAAACATATAAGGAACGGTTGCTGGAATTGGGTATGTCTAGTTTAACGAAGAGAAGGACGAGGGGGGACATGATAGCAGTGTTCCAATATCTCAGGGGCTGCCACAAAGAAGAGGGAGTCAAGCTATTCTCCAAGGAACCTGAAGGCAGGACGAGAAGCAATGGGTGGAAACTGATCAAGGAGAGAAGCAACCTAGAACTAAGGAGAAACTTCCTGACAGTTAGAACAATTAACCAATGGAACAACCTGCCTCCAGAAGTGGTGAATGCTCCAACACTGGAAGTTTTTAAGAAGAGACTGGACAGCCGTTTGTCTGAAATGGTGTAGGGGGGCTGGACTCGATGACCTCCAAGGTCCCTTCCAACTTTTATTATTATTATTATTATTATTATTATTATTATTATTATTATTATTACTACTACTACTATATCGGGTAGCAGTAATAAAGGAAGATGCTCAAGACAGATAATGACTTTAGAGATTAATGAGTTTGACAGTCAAATGTAGTCTGGAATTGACAAAATATGCAAGTAAGATATATTCTTGTGATTAGAGATTAGAATGTCAAAAATGGAAACAAGGAAACAGGATGGCCTAGAAACAGAAGAATGATATCTGGTTATAAAGTATCTAGGATGTTCCTACTGCTAGGTACCATCACCTTTAATAAATATACTTGTTTGGCCAGTAAGTCCTAAATATCCTACATGGGGGACTGGATGATTAATATAAAAATTATACTTACCTAATTGGTATGTGTTCTCCATCTGAATAGCTGGGCGCAGACTATCCTCATGGTGGCCAGGTTCATCCATATATGACACCGTACTTACAGAGCTAAACATTATAACCAAAAATGACTGCCATATTAATAAAAAAAATCAACAATCTGTGAAGTATCAAGGAATGTAGGAACTATCTGAATAGGGATTCTTGGTATGTTAAGCCCCATTGATTTTGTATGAATCATTTTTGGGAAGACATATTAAGTATTGCCTTGATATAGTAATTAAAGAATTACCCCGATACCTGGGGAAGTACAAGTCCCTAAATCTTAAAGTTGCTGAGGTTGAGGAACACTGCTCTATAACAGCTCTGTTCGTTGCATGATAACCTTTTAGTTATTTGAAAACTGCAATTTTGATTCCCTTCCATTCTTCTTGTTATTCCTTTCTAATTTCATCCTGCAACTGGAACAGGATTTCTGTACATGCCCCATTATGGCAGAACAAAATGCTATAAAGTCAGTATAGAATCTCTATTCAATATGGCTCTCGGGACGGGACAGTTTCTAAAAAATAGCTACTTCCATGGTTAAATATAGAACAGTTTTAATCTCATGGTGCCCAAAGGAAATAACCCAACAGAACTACCAAAAAATTAACAAGATAAAAAATAAGAAAATATAATGCTGCTACTTACTCTTTGTTTCTTCCAAAGAAATCCTTTGCTCTGATCTCATGGCTCCCCATAGAAGATATGCTGCCTCTGTTCTTGGCCAAGCGGGTGGCTTTATCCTTCATGATCTCTGACATATTTACTAGACAGGAATTACATTTTAAGCCTAATATTTAGCTGAAAAGATATTGGCAGGCTGATAAAGAAATGAATGTCCATTTTACAAAATCAAGTAACAGAAGAGACAGTTACATTGCATTAGCCTTTTAAGTCTTTAGGAATAACAATTATATGACCACTTAAATATGTTTATTTCTCTTTTGTAACCTGCAAACTGGAACTGAGAACCACCTATGGTCTCCAGAAGTAGATTCACAGCACCACTACAAACAAGATTTTGCAACTTCCTAGTTTGCCATCAAAATGACAGGAAAAGGGCACTAACAAAAATCCAAGAGTACTTCAGAGCAGATTTTAATTCAGGTATATTTCAGGGATTCAGAATCTGCACTTATTACCATCCACATCCAACAAGTGACAACTTACCTTAAAATAGCAACTTCATTCTTGGGAAAACCCACAGTTACCCTTCTATAACACATTCAGTGTGTTTTCTAGGATCTTTTAATACTATAAGAAATCCACAAATGGAACATTCACTTCATGCTCCACAAACTCTACTTTCTTCTCAGCAGATATCCCTATTGATGTTTTTCCCTTCTATTTTTGTCCGTTCAAGTCAATAACTGTGAATACTTGGAGAAAACTAAACTCTTAACATATATACTGGTAGGTTTAGTGCCTAGTGTCAATGAAGATTCTCAATCATCCACCTGGTTGTCTCAAAAGTGGGTTGTTTTTTTCCCCAAAAGGCAACTGGACTTTCTTGGGTTTTTTTCCCCCCCTTTTGGAAACGTTTTGCTTCTCATCCAAGAAGCTTCTTCAGGTCTTAGATGAGAACCGAAAAATTACCCCAACAACCAAGAAAAGGCCAGTTGCCTTTTTTTTTTTGGGGGGGGGGGGAAGCACTTTGGGGATTTTAATGCCTAGTGAAATGAAATCAGTAATCCGTGTAATTATTTCAAGCGCTACATTCTGCTTTGAATGAAGTACCCCCACCATGTCTGGGGTCCCCAAAAACCCTTTCTCCCAGGGGAATCCGACTTCTACCGATCGCCTGGAGAAAGATCAAGGTGCTTTCATTTGCCCTTGTTCTGATTTGGGACGTTTTCAGTTCTCCAACTCGAGTCGAACCCAAATCAGTGCCAACAAAAACACGCTTTGCCCAATTAACCCGATTCTGGGGTTCCCAGAAAATGAGCCACAGCTCGACTAGTCCGCTCGATGCCGACCGCGCCGCCCTCTCCCGGGGCTGCCAGCATCCGAACGACCGCTAAAGTGGCCTCAAAGGGAGAAGCGACATTTTACGGCGCGGTGCATTTTGCCAGCTATCCGGACGTCGGCACCCGAAGGACGGCAGCCGCGGTTCTTACCGCTTTTGCTGCTGCAGCAGCCCTGGGAAGCCGGAGATGTTGCTGGTTACCCGGGCGACAACCCAGGCTCAGGACGGCTGAGAGGGAAGGGCGGCTTCAGCCTTGCCCCCGCCTCCAAGGGCGGCCGTGCAGAAAGGGAGCGGAGCGACTCGCGGCGGCAGAAAGACAGGCTAGTCCAGTGTTTCTCAACCTTGACAATTTTAAGGCATGTGGACTTCAACTCCCAGAATTCCACAGCCAGCAATGCTGGCTGTGGAATTCTGGGAATTGAAGTCCACATGCCTTAAAATTGTCAAGGTTGAGAAACACTGGTTGTGGCGCCTGCGTGAAGGAGGAGGAGGAGGAGGCGACTGCCAGGCTAGGTGGGCGCAGCGCGCGAAGAACGCGGCTGGAAGTCCGCCCGAACCTTCCCGCGGCAGCGCAGTGGAGTCACCAGCCGAAGAGGAGATTAGCGCAAAAGCCCTGCGCGCGCATCCGCCTGGCTGGCTCCTTCCCGAGCCGCCGCTTTTGCCGTTCTGTCTCTCAAGCCGCGCGGGGGGTTCGGCTCCCCTTTTCTCTCCCCACTGCGGGATTACTTCGTCTTGGAGCCTTGCGCGCTTGGGGTTCTGGTCGGGCTTCGAAAAGACTAGCGCAGGGGTAGGCAACCTCGGCTCTTTTATGACTCATGGACTTCAACTCCCAGAATTCCTGAGCCAGCATAGCTGGCTCAGGAATTCTGGGAATTGAAGTCCATGAGTCATAAAAGAGCCGAGGTTGCCTACCCCTGGACTAGCGGGACGACGAAAGCGCAACTCCCTCTGCCTTCCAATGGGCTTCCCCGAACCACGACCTCCACCTCCCTGAATTCCTTGGCCAGCAGCCTTTTGGTTCTCCCCATGATTGGGGGGAAGGGGGGGGGACTGAGGCAAGCTGTTTAACATTTTATTGGCCCATGAGGCAACCTTGGCTTCCTGGGGATATAACTTAAGAGTGTTTGGCTAATAAATAAACTGGTCAATTCAGGTTCTGGTTGATTTTATCCAGGTCATTTTTTATTTTTATTTTTGCCATTCCTTCCTAGCGGTTTCCCTTAAGTGCAGGGTCTGCTTTTTCCAGATCTGCTGGAATTGACTGACTGGTTTATTGCCAGAGCCTGAGGCCATAGAGCAGTGGTTCTCAACCTTTTTAATGCCGCGGCCCCCAACTGGTCGTAAGTCGAGGACTAAACCGGTCGTAAGTCAAGGACTATCCCTGACCGGGAGTGCCGCGCATGTGTGGTTCCGCCCCCAGCGCCGGCCGAGGCGTAGCTGGCAAGCGGCAGAGACGGAGCAGGCTGACCACCAGCTGGCCCAGCCCAAGGGAGGTAAAGGGGAAAAAAATGACGGACAAAAAAAATGGCGGACAAAAAAAATGGTGGATAGCCTTGCTTGGCGACCCCCGTGAAATGGTCGATCGACCCCAAATGGGGTCCCGACCCATAGGTTGAGAACCGCTGCCATAGAGGGAGTGATTGACCCCAAGTCACCCAGCTTGTATGGACACAGAAATATAATGAAAGGATTCAAACCAGGGAAAGTCCCCAGGTCTTATTATGTAATAAAGTAATACAAATTATTTGGAATGGTGGGTCTCAATGTTAACAGCATTTTTCAGAGCAATAGATTGGTATCAAAGGCCGGGAGCTTGGCTGTAACAGTACTAACAGAGAAGGGCAAAAGAGATGATCCAGCTGACTTTTGCTCAATGGGTTTATTAACTCATATTGGCAGAACATATGCTAAACATCTGCAGAATAAATTAACTTATTGGCTAGTACAGAAAGATGTTCATTAACTGGCCCCAATAGTTCTGGATAGGTCTGGAAGACTGTTAGCATGTCACCTCTAGTCTAGTCTAATAAATAGAAAGATTAGAGATGATATGATAACAGTCTTCCAATATTGAAGGGGCTGCCACAAAGAAGAGGGGTCTACTCTTCTCCAAAGCTCCTGAAGGCAGGACTAGACGTAATGGATGGAGATTTATCAAGGAGGGGACCAATTTAGAACTATGCAGAAATTTCCTGATGGCGAGAAAAATCATTCAGTGTAATGGCTTGGCTTCAGAAGATGTGGCTGCTTCAACAATGAAGTTTTTTAGGAAGAGATTGGATGGTCATTTGTCTGAAATGATATAGGATCTCCTGCTTGAATAGGGGGTTGGACTAGAAGACCTCCAAGATCCCTTCCAACTCAGTAATACTGTTAGTCTGTTATAGATGGTTTAGAGCAGGTTGAACAATGTTAAACCATGCTATGGTGCTGCAACACCTCGTAGAAAAGTATACCCACAAATCTGGACAATCTCTTTATGCAGCATTTATTGACTTTAAATCAGCTCTTGAGATAGTATCATAGCTCTAAATTGTGGTGTATATTTAAATACACTGCAGTGCTTCTGCTGCTCATAATAATTCATGAGAATACAAGATTGAAGATCAGGTGCAATAACCAAGGACATGTCACCATAGAAATATTAGTAAGTAGGCGAGTTAGACAGGGATGTGTATTGGCTTCAGTTTTATTTATGCTATCTTAATTTTAGGACTAGATCAAACTAGATCAGTATTAAGGCAAAGGATTTTACAACTAGAGGACCAATCAGAAATTGCTGCTTTCTCTCACATCATTTATTATTTATTAAGCAAATTTATATAGCTGCCCAATAGTGACTCCAGGCAGCATGCAACGTTAAAATTTATTTTATAACGTATTTGTAAATAATCACATTTTAGCTCCTACCAGCTTAATATTTATATCATAGTATAGTGTGGGCCATATAGGAAAACCCATCATGAAACTTGACATTTCCCCTATGACATGGATGCTATAGAAACCACAGCCCAAGCTCTTTTGTACTGTCCGTTTTACAGGGACATTTGCCATCGACCTAATTACCCCTTTCTGATCTAAATGTCTGGGACATTCTTCTATTAATAATTATATCATAGATACATTTTATGGTCATTGTTAAGACTGATTCTGGTGTAAATGAACTAAAGGGAACATAATTAAAATTGGGTGCACATGAAGACAACATAAAAGACCTAGAATGGAATATAAAACAATATGCTGATCAAACTTACTAGAAAAGCAGTTATGCTTGGAATGATCAGTGATAAATGGAAATGAGACCACAAAACAACATGGTGGCTAGATATCATAAAAGCCAATGCCAGCCAGAGTATAAAAAAACTGAAAAAGTTCATTCAAGATTAGAAAATGTGAAAACAGCTGGTTCAGAGAATCACCAAAAATTGGACATGATTGAATGGATAACATCATTACCATTGTCTTCCCAGCTGATGTGATGCCTTGGCAAATGGTAGTACCTCACACTGGCTAATCTGAAAAACTAAGTAAAGTCAGAAACTGGTTAGCATTAGATTGGGACCATTTGGAAATTCCAGGGCCACTGGCTGGATTGGAAAGGTGAAAAACTATCTTGGAAGAATGGAATGTATCTACCTATTGAGGTATGAGTACCTTCACCATAGCAGAAAGCTCCTTTGATAGTTCTAGCATAATAGAATTACCTGTCTCTAACACTGCTGAATTGATGCTGTCAGAACCAGGATCTGTGAGTGCTTCCCATACCAGAAGGAGGAGGCAGCCTCAGACCTGATATGAATTTGCTATTCTGAAATGATTCTCCCTCAAATAAAAAACATGTTTAAGAGCCAGTGCTTTTGAAGATTTCAATGGGAGAGGAATAATACTAGCATCAAAGCTGCCTCCTTTGTAATTCTCCTTGGAGCATCATTTGTTTCAGACTTCCTTCAAAACTAATTCTACATTAGTTATTATTAGTGTCACCAATACTGCTAATATAATATTAAACATAACTATTAATTAAAAGTAATGTGAATTTGAAGAAGCAAAACAAAAGGCCCAAACAAAAGGTTATTTTTAGTTTTCTCATTTATTTTCAAAGGGAAAAGAAAGTCACGTTTAAATTACAGCTTAATTGTTATTTAATGTTCTCCTTATGTATAGAATTTCATAAAGTTTGTTCTGAAATGGGGACCCTATTTGTATAATATGTATGATAAATAATTGCATATTTTGGGATTTTGTGAAATGGATGTTTAAGGGAAATTATGGAGAAAATCCATTTATAAAAATCATTATTTACAAAAAATAGACATTTGTTATCTAATCTAAAAGGAAAAGAAACATTGAAAATATGTGGTTTTATGATTATGTTCAACAAGCCAATACAACATATTCATATTACCAGTGGTTTGATTCAAAGCTTTGCTGCAGGAACTCTGATGCCACAAACTTTTTTTATAATTTACATTTTTTTTTATAACATCATATTAGCAGCAATGAATAAAATAAGCAGTAAACAGCCAACTAGACTACAAGGACAGTGTATTTCATTTCACACAAAATCAGAGATGTCCAGACTTAAACTTTAATGTTTAAAAATATACATGTGTATTTTGTGTCCACAAATATCTATAAACAGTTTGTACACAGGTTTTTAAAATATAAAATGATACAGTATGATATTTGATAAAACACCATGTAATCTATTTCAGGACTCAAATACTGTATCTTTTAGAAGTAAAACCCAGGATCTGCAAATGCTAAACTGCATGCCAGTAAATAATGTTTTTAATATAGGGTGTACAACAGTTCAACATGACTGAAGTTTAATATTTAGTTTTTCTGAGCCCTTAATCCAAAATACATGCATGCCTACAGTTTATCAGCCATTAAAACATAAAAAAAATCAGTATCTTCTAATGCACTAGTATGACTAGTGTGTTGAGATGTCCAACTGAGATGCATTTTTTTAGACTCACAGATTGAAGGTAAGAGTTCTCATATACGTGTTCATCTGAACTACAATTACACACTTTTTAAGATCTTAAGTGTGTAAGGCAGATTTTAGACTTCCACAGATTGCTTGGTCTGCACTGAAATATTGCTCACAAAACATTTAATAACCAACTTTAATCAATGCCAGTGTGATATTGGACTAGGGAGACCTAAATTCTAGACCACTTTCAGCTACAAGAATCCTTTAGGTGATT